AAAAAAAAAAAAAAAAAAAAAAAGAAATACCTATGAAGAATGAATTGTAAACATAGATAATTAATAAATAGAGCAATGAAAATTGAAATAAATCACGAAGAATTTACATACTCCACAAGAAGTTCCTACCCACACCAGAGTACGAACACGTTACAATGTGTCTCTATCAACCTGTAACTTGCACTGGAGCTTCCACTGAAGCCGCTGTCCATGTCACAGCCAACAGGCGAAAGGAGGTCGTCGGTGGGACTGACCGAGGATAACAATTCCTCCGTGGACGCCCCTCTTTGATCCTGTGGCTCGTCCTCGTCGTTGTTATCGACCACCGTAGGCATCAGCATTGCCTCCACGCTCAGATTCAATTCCCCGAGTACTCGACGATGCCGTGACTGAACCCGTCGCACCTCCTCCGCCACTAGAGATCTTCTCGAACCGTGCAACGCTCGGTGACATTGTCTGCTAATGAATTCCAGTTCTCCATTAGTATTTACATACGCTTCTCTCTTGCATATACAATGTGAAATCATATGAAAGCGGTTGTTTCGATAAACGATAATCGTTCGCTGATGATTCACAGTCATTAAACCGGTTGATGTTGATATTAAGAGGAAGAGTTTACAGAGATGTTCCAATTCTTGCGTGATTGTATGTGATTCTATGTACGTATGTACGTATAAATTAAAATTATACATCACCCCTGTCTTTATTTAACTTACGTTGAGCTTACGAGAATTATATTGGAATTTAATCGAGCATTACATTCGAGACTTGACTCATCACTGTTTCTAACATTTTCAAGCATGAACGTCGATTAAGCGTATAATTGATAACATACTAAATTCACATGTACGGTTAAATATTAATTACAATCGACGAACACTGAAATAATAAGTTCTACTATTCATGTTAATAGTATGTATTCTTGATGGAAAGAATAGTGATCATTCGAAACGATCTGAAATGTATCTGAGCATATTGCGATGACGAACATTATTAAACGTTCATAGCAATCTACTCTGACTTGTTTTCTTATTGTTTGCGACTTTAATCGTTAAGTCTGATAGCATCCGGTGCAGGGAATACGTCAGATCGGGCCAAGTGGCTGGGCAAGAGGAGAAGCTTGTTGTCCACTTGAACATCGCGTTCAACTCGCGCCAGTTGAAGTTCATTTCGCTACGAGGCGAATGAACGTGCGTATTCATCAACTGTTTAGATTGAATGAGACATGATTCTACCGCGGCTATCATCATCCTCTATCGACCTTAAAGTCCTTCTTATCGGCCGTAAAAAGCCATAACTCTAGATCTACAATTGTTCGCAGACATTGTGTCTCTTGTTTTCTCATCCCAAATATACAGGCTTGAGAACAAAATATTTATCGGATGCTGTCTTTTTGTATTTTCGTCGCCAAAGAAATTAACATCTCAGCTCGAAACGTGTTATTTACGAACAACTATATTTTAGGATGGATTTTCTCACTTGATCTCCGATATCTCCTCGTAAATATTCTCCTCCGTCCCGTATCGTGTCATGTACGTATGCCTCTTGAACGAATCCGGGCGCAGTTGTTGCTGTTGCTGCGGCTGCACACGATTCAGGCCAACTTCCGCCGGATATGTGCCATGCAGCCGACTCGGGCCAGGTTCGAAGTAAGCGTATGAATAATCCTGAAGGGGATGCTGGTGAGTAGAACTCGCTATGGGTGATGCTACCGGTCCAGGATCCACCAATCCAGAGCAGGCCATCTGAAGGGAACGAAGAACGATATACAACAAGAATGTGTAAGTACATTTCGATTTCTAGAAAATAGAATTATCGAATTAAAGTTTTCCAATAACTCTGCTGATTCTCCAATTTCTTTTTCTTTTTTTTTTTTAATTGTTAAAATTAATCACTGTCTGATATAGAATCGCTTTTGCAAAAATTCCAACAGCAGAAATTCGTCGAAAGTAGATGATCGTGATCGATAGATTAAGATGGTATGTCAAATTAAGCGAAAAGTCTGACTTCCAATTAGGTATAATTAAAAATTATACACGTGACTCTACGCAGGAAACGTTTCTTACAGTGTACATTTACGCCTTGATACTTAATTAAAATTCCTGCATAATGAGATTCTTAGTTGGTAAGAACGTGCACCAGTGTCCAATATTAATTACGTGTAAATACTGTTATTCTGATTTAAAGCACTGGCAAGGCTCATTCTATATATAGGTTAGATCCTAGGTACTAGAATTCTGCAGGCAACATAAGTTACGCGAGGCTCAGCATTGCATGCTAGCAATTACCCACCTGACTGTGAGGCGGTGGGTAAGGTGGAGGCGGTGGAAATTCCAGGTTGACTCTTCGCGGTGACGGAACACCCGACGCCATTCCTGGTCCCCCTAAAGACGAAGCCATGATGCATCGTTCTGATTATCGACTTAATTAATGCGTCTCTTTTTCATCGTTCTTTCAATTTCTCTGGAAAAATCACACCATTTACCATTATTACTCCAACCGCGTCTTCAAAATATATTTTGCTTTTTCTTTATAAATAAAAAAAAAAAATTCTTTTGAGAGATTAATAATAATTTAGAAGATTCTGCGGAGATGTAGTTTCTTGATGAAAATGCGTTGATATTACATAATACATCATTAATTATACTTGACAAATACATTTTCTACATACGTATTCTCGGTAAACTTGAAATAAACATTCGGAAAAAAAAATTGAATTCCAGTCGTCACAATTGCTCTAGTCTTTCATACGTTCTAACTCGAAACATTCCAATTTCGTATGATTTAACATGAGAACATTTATTGAATTTTATCCCTGTGTCGTACGTGACTCATAACAGTTTAAGCTAGCTAAATCAATTTTAGAATTTAGGTCAAGTTATATCATTTCACATAAAAAAATGATATTTTTTATTACACGAGTATTATTCGAACTTGACATTATCAATTTCAAATTAAACGTATAATCCTATCACCTTAACAGATCTATATAACTATATATATATAATATATATATATTATAATCTATATAATCTATATAATATCTATATAATATCTATATAATATATATATATACTCTATATAATAATCCTATCTCACCTTGACAGTTATATATATATATATATAAAATAGTCCTTAACAGATATATATATATATAATTGTATATATATAATCTATATAATAATCTTATCACCTTAACAGTTATATATATATATATAAAATAGTCTTTAACAGATATATATATATATATATATATAATCTATATAACAATCCTATCACCTAATATAATAAATAGTCCTAATATAATAATCCTATCACTTTACCAAATATATATATATATATAAAATCTATATAATAATCCTATCACCTAATATAATAGTCTATATAATATAATGGTTTACATAATAGTCTATATAATAGTCTATATAATCTATATAATAGTCCTAA